AGTTTACCTCAAAAAAGTAGGCAAAAAGCATGCAAGATATAAGAAGCATTTACTAGACCATCATTAGGTAGCCAAATGCCTCGTCATCTAATAAGTGATGCATATAAATGGATTAACTAGATTACCACTATCCCGATCTACTATCTAGTGAAACCACAACCAAGGGACTGGGCTTGGCAGAATTAGCGAGGAAAGAAGACCCTGTTAGGTTTGACTCTGGTCCTACTCTGAGGATACATGATGGATGGAGTATAGGCGTGAAAATGTTTTCTTCGTCTTCGAAATAACCACATTTTCATAAGTATATTCTTAAGTTTTTCTACTGAGAAACTTGTATTCAGTTGATAAATTACTTTAAAACATTTTATCCCTACCGTTTAGTGTTTATGTTTTATAAGGAAATATGAGACTGTTCATCACAAATAATGCATATGAAATGTGCACTGTCGGTACTTATACTCAGAGCATCTTTATCATTCAGTGATGTTACACTTGTCTACAATACACTGTACATAAATTTAACGGAAAACGAAATGAAAAATATTAGTGGTATAAATTTTTATCATAGAAGCTATTCAATTTGTAGTACACGTCACTAAATAGCTTTAGCAAGACAACAACTAGAAAACAAAGAAAAACTAAACAACAGTATTACCGTCGTCCAAGACTTCCTAAATATCTACATCAATGACTGCTCCAGGGATCAAAACCTAGATCTACATGTTTAGTAGATAGCTCTTGGCTTAAAACTACTTAGTGGATATCCAATGATTTACATTTCCAACATCAACCAGTTCATGATATTTTGCTATTATTATTTCTGACAGTAACACCTACCTCATTTACGGTATAACTGACCTCCGTTAGTCATAACTTCTCATTAAATCATCAGTTAACTCATGATTACTGTTAGTCTAGAGTGTTTCGGATGAAACTGTTTAATTTGTAGTTTAGATCACTTAAATGCGCATATCTAGTTTTCTGTTAACCACTGCCAAACTTTTAAAACAAAAAAAACTGTTTCTGAGACTTGTTGGGTTATATATAACAATATACAAAGATGAAATAATTTTAAGATAACAAAAACCATTAATTTCACATGGCTTTTACCTTTAAAATTATAATTTTACACCTAATGATCTTTCAATGAAACACTGAAGCCATATAAATTACATTATTTTTCAATGTAATATGTCTTTTTTTTAAACGAATATAGCTACATAGCATTTGTTATGTCTGACTTTATTATACATTGACCACCTGGTGTTTTGAATACACCTGTTTGAAAGACAAGCATAACATGGTTATTCCTCATGCTACATATAATTTCTTTGGAGTAAGTATGCTGAAATGTAAACGCAAACGGCAAAACTTAGTCCAGATTACAAACTAGTAGTTGGTCTAATGCATATATTATAATACTTATGAATATAGAAAAGTAGTTCACGATATTCAACTAGGGTTGTTTGTTTCTTTAAGCATACAGAAAACTGTCTCTAAATTTTAGCAGAAAAGATGAGAAAAAATATAGACGTCCTATCCGACATTACATCTATGAACTACAAAAGAATATCAGCTATTTATTTAATAATAATTTATGTTCTGAAAATAATAATTACAGAATTCACGCCAGTTTACGGGCATGATCAGTTTGATATAAATAGTAACATTAGATGCACAGAACAAACATGTGATAGAAGAAAGTTTTAAGTATACTAGTTCAGTAGTTGTTTAGGTAGTACATGTATTACAGCTATCCAATGCATCAGCTGGGAATTTCTAATATTTCTTAAATGGACAGCCCGTTGATTTATGAACGGTGTAATTAAGGTCATTCCCTGTGCCAGATCGAATTAATGATAATTATCGACAACTAGAGAAATTAAAACGAAAACAGAGAACACTGAACAACAAAGCGGTAATTGCCAAAATATATGAATCAGGTCTACCTAGATGCGTGTGTCATGTGACACAGTGATATACTGTTTATGTTATTCAAATTAGTTAAACTTGCTAGGGACGGTGTTAACATATTGACAGCAAGTCGGTGGTTTTTCTCAGGGGATTCACTAATAAAGATGGCTAAATATTTAAAGTTCCTAAAATATCACTTGTGGAATGAGATACACTTGCAGGTGCTAGACCATTCAATGCATTTTCAGAGGAGCAGTATGCATCGATGCAGCGAACAAATGATGGGAGTGATTTTATCGTGCGGATAGATTGTGGTAGGTTATTCCATACTCTAGAAAATTTACAGGTGAAGTAATTCATATAAAGAGATGATTTAGAATGAGTTTGTTTCACTAGTGCCAAAGAATTACGGATGTCATAATGAGAGGTTTCTGCATATTGAATCGCGTGATCGGATGTAAACGATAGTTTATGCAGTAGTTTGAAGAAAAAGATATGATTTAGTTTGAGTCTCCTCCTCCATAAAGGGTCTATCCCAAGTTTATTACATCTAGAATTATAAGTTAAGGCATAATCAGCTCCAAGAATACGAAGTGTAAATCGTCTCTGTACTGACTTCAGCCTTAATTTATCCTTTATGCGCGCACTGCTAAGAATAAACGTGCAATATTCTAGAAGATGTCGAGCACAAACTTTTTACATTAGAATATGTGACTCATTGTTGTAAAGGTTTCGAGTTATGTAACCTATTAGACTTTGAGACTTGGAGGTCTGTTTTAATACCTGTTCTGTAAACGACAAGTCTTGGGAGTATCTAAGTCCTAAGTCTACTACTGTATGTAACCTAGATAACACTTTTCCATTTATGGTAATGTCTAAGTTGAATGATGTATCGCCGAAGCATATCTATCCAAATTTAGCCGTATTAAGCTCCAGTTGCCATGTTAAGCACCACTGTGCTACCTTGTTAAGCTCCATGCTGATGCAATTTTGCATATTTTTTCAGCTCATGTGGAGAAAATGAATATACTACTTTAAGATCATCTGCATATAGAAGAGGCTTACCCACACAAAAACTTTCACAAATATAATTGATAAACACTAAAAAGAGCAAAGGGCCTAAGACACTACCTTGTATTACACCACTTCTAACTGGGACAGCGTTAGACAATGAAGATTTAGAATCTGATTATTTATTCCTTATTAACCTAGTCGGCGGTCTATGCTCTACGAGGGGTATCAGGTATAAATAAATGAAAATAAAATCAAAAACTTGTTTTTATTGTAAAAAATCACAACGAAATATCGGAACAGTCAATGTACAAACGATAAACTAGAATACAAGTTAATTAGAATGAAAAATATGAATGAAAGAAAAATGACAATGATGTAATCAAACGTTAAGAAAGAGTTGAAATAATGAACAATACAATTCATTAAATTCAGTAATTTTATAATAATCTTTCTTTATTGCCATTAATCTGTTTTCATTTGCTTCATTACACAATCATCTAATGTTTTTTAACTCTGTGAGTTCTAATCACTAGTTCGATGTTCTGGAAATTTCCATCCCACACTTTATTTCTTTATCTGAAATAAAAAATTGTTATGACCTTAATGACTCTATTGGAATCTTCGCTACATCATGATATACATATTCATCACTCATCACCGTATTTATGAATATTGACATATTCATAATAACCGATTTTGAAATATTATAGGTTGTATGCAGTTGATGAGGACCTAACAAAATAAAATTATTTTAATAGTTGAGATCATGAGTCACTTGAAGCTAGACCACCATGGGAAACCTGAAAGCACTGGATGGTCGTTTCGTCCTGTTGTGGGACTCCTTAGCAGTGCTCATTCACTATCCCGCCTCGTGAGATTCAAACGCAGGACTTATCAGTCTCGTGCGTGAGCACTTAACCATTAGACCACTGAACTGGCATCCAACGGTGTTAATGCCTAACTTCAAATAATCCACGAAATTGAGCGACACACCCACCATTGTCTTCAGTGAGTTACTACCTCACAACAGACCCGGTTGAACACCAGTGATAGGTCTTGGGTTCGGATCTCGCAAGGCCGGATGGTGGATGAGCACTGCTGAGGAGTCCCACAACAGGACGAAATGGCCACCAGTGCTTTCAGGTTTCTCATGGTGATCTACCTTCAAGTGACTCATGACCTCAACTATTAAAATTACTATAATATCCACAAAACCCCTTCTGAAAATAAAATGAATTTATATTATTCTGCATCAGTCTTTGTTTTTGTTCTCCTCAAGATAATTCGCTGCATTTCGGATTGAAGAGTTCTGTATTAGAGTTTCAGTATGAGCATCAACTCGAAGACACAGGTACGCTTGTTTTATAAGTTCTAAATGGAATGAAAAGAGCTTCCTGTATACCAATGCTGGTGATCCCGTGAGAGTTGCTTCAATATAGCCACTTTATCATTAGCTTTTTAAAACAGATAAATATCAGTTAGTAACCGAATCCAGGACTTATGTTATATTCTGTTTGGGACCCATAAACTAACTAGTGCCCATCTAAACTCACCAACTTATCGGATAGCACATTGACGTTTAAAGCGATAAGCACTAGGTCTGAGTCTTCGTGTAAACTTTAACAATATGATTCAAGTACATCCATCTTGGGAGTCCTAAATAGAATGAAATCCTCTTCCTGAGTCCCACTGTTAGCCATAATTTATCAATTTTAAAATAATAACTAATTTCTTGTTGACTGTCACATAAACAATTTGTTCTCAGTGTACCCTTCATTTTGACTGATAATTCTAATCTTTATTAAATGTACCTCAATAATAATAATAATAATAATAATAATAATAATAATTCATTTCTAACCAGTGAGAAACGGTTATTTTATCTAATATGAATATACATTTTATCATCAGCATAAACTAATAATTTGCGTGTGAGAGAAAAAATATCAATAAAGTGCAGAAAGTATGAATTGTTAGGCAGTATCAATTCATGTCTTGTATAACATGTTATGTGTTTCCTGTGCAAATGTATATGCCACATCCTATCATTCCCACTAAACTTATCTGTTTAAGCCAATTGTATTTAATATAAGGAACCAATCTAAGTCACTTACAACACAGTTAATCTGTGTGATAATTTTGATTGTTTAAGAAATATTTGGTGTGTTTTCATCCCTTGTCCACTGTATGTAAAAGACATTCACTTTAGAAGAGACTGAATAGCAAATTATGTTATAAACATTTATTATATGTTCTCATAAAGATTCACTTTCTTTTAAATGGCTTCTCAACATTGTTCAATTCGTTTAATTCGTCAAGATACATCTATTCCATGGGGTTTTCGATTAGAAGGTGGTACTGACTTTGGTCATTCTATAACTATACAACATGTGAATCCTGGAAGTATAGCTGATTACAGTGGACTTCGGGCTGGTGATCATGTGATACGAATTAATCAATCTGAAACTAAATGGATGAGACATGATGATGCAAAAATGGAGATCATACGATCAAGTAATGATTTAGAATTGTTTGTTCAACGTAATGAAATTGTAAATCAATATACACATCAAAATAATTTTTCTCCATCACCAAAACATTCGTTAAGTAGATCACCGAAACCAGTTTCTCCACAACCAGTTAGTCGACAAACTATTTGGCAACCTAAAATTGTTTCATCTGTTCAAATGTCACCAAATAGTAATCATAACAATCACCAAGCATATGGAACTCATGTTAATTTAGAGGCTACATCGAAAAATGAAGAGTCATCATCTATCGGAGTTAAGCACAATATCTCACCACTTCCATTTGGTCAATCACCACCGGCACCTGGAGAAAACGTACTAACAAAAGTCGGTGAGGGACGTTATAGAAAAATCAGTCACTCATCATATAATTCACCTATGGGTTTATATAATCAAAAGAATAGAAATCAAACATTTGAAAGAACATTGTCTAATGCTACAGGCAATCAGCATGATGGTACAGCACCTCAAGTATCACCAACAACACCACCATCAATGTATTGTGGATCATGTGGAGGTTTTATACGCGGTGTTTTTGTTAAAGTACAAGGTCGTATCCCAATGCATCCTGAATGCCTTAAATGTTGTAAATGTGGAATAGGTTTACGTAATATTGGTTATTTCTACATTAAAGAACAATTGTATTGTGAAACTCATGCTAAACAAGCTGCACCACCTCCTGAACCTGGCATGAAAGCTGTTGTAGTTTATAAATAACAGGTGAACTTTGAAAAAAAGAAATAATAATTTAAGTTCTATGAAAGATATTTAATATCCCATTACACATGAAGCTATCAAAATGATTTAGTGAGTTTTACCATTTTGTTGTTGTTGTTGTTGTTGAAACAAAACAAACTATTATTATTTCCCATCAACAAAAAATGTTTAGTTTACAAAATCTATTGTCAAAATCATTAGGATTAGTCCAAAATTGGATATTTTATCAACAAAAAAAAACCCATCTTAACTTTCATTACCAGTTGGGCATGTATATTGATTTATAACATATATATTACATTAAATGATTTGAATATAGACAAACTTTTTAACAAACCGTCTACTCAATATATCCAACTCATTTTTCAATTGATAAGATTGAATGATAAAGAAACTGTTTAACTGAATGATAATTATAATTGTGAATGTATGATCATTATTATTATTATTATTATTATTATTATTATTATTATTATTATTATTATTATTATTATTATTATTATTATAGTTTACGGATAAATACCTACAATCTATATACCTTTCTATTTACTTTGAGAAGAGAAGAAAAACAAACAAACACACAAACAAAAAAGGTGAGATTTTCCAACATTTAACCTTGACTAAGATTAACATATACATTTCATGTACCGTAGAATTTACAAATTAATCTCTTTTTTTTCTTTTTAATTTCAGCTCTCTTTCTGATTATCCGTCGATTGTTTGTTTTTTTTCTCGTTTTTTTTCCAAGCAAACTCATGCAGCCCTTTTATTTTAGATGTTTCATTCTACTTATTCTATAGTTTATTTAATTATCTTGATTAATATTCACTATTAATGATCGTAATTATAAAATTGTAATTGTTTAAGTATTCAGTAATTCATTATTTTATTGATTAGATTATTGTTAATACGATCAATGTATGAACCGTTAAATATTGATTGTGTATCCGGTAATAAAATAATCAATTTAGTCTTATCAAAATTGTTATTATCATTTCAATGAAGATAATAGAAAAGAAAATATCTTGAATTGTGTTTTATTTTTCTTAAATATAATAAGTAATGAAATTTCATTTTGTCCGGGAATTTATTGTTTAAATTATATGGCCTAATAACATAAGTCATTCCAATGTGAGCTTGGATATAATAATTTACATCAACACTATTTTTATTTGTCATAGCTTGGTTATAACTTTGTGATTAATATATAGAACTTTCGACTTTTGATGGAGGCAGATTTAAATCTTTAACCATATACTGTGGTTTCAATGATCAGGTCGTATCAGTTGTTTAAATTTAGTTAAGCTAATGTATTGAAATGATAGAAGAGATTTATAGCTTAAATGGAATTTCTTTTTAATGTTGATTTTTATTTACTGAATAGTTTACTGAAGAAAATTTCGTCCTCATTCTAGACATCATTAAAGTTTGCCTATCTCAAGTAAAAGTGTTAATGATTTTATTCATAATTACAACGAACTCTTCACAATTAAACGACTTAGATAAGAGTAATTAGCATTACCAAAAATATCAATATATGGAGACGTTCATTAGGAAAAATTTTTCTTTAAGAAGATATAATTTTCTAGAGCTGCTCAATCGTACTCACGGTTATTTTTACATGTAGTGGTCTATAACAAAATATTGAATTACTGTGTCATTAACAGAGGTACTAAAAGTCAATTAAAATTTAAAGTTACGTAACACTCAAAGCGTAACAAAAATAAATTAACAAATGGAAGCGAAATATAGAAGATTACCCATTTGATGATTATAAGGAAAATAAAAATATGAGCGAATAAGTGTCTAAACAAGACACAGAACTGATATTTAAAAAATTATTGTCTACTTGAAGAATACGGGAAAATAAAAAAGAGAAAACAACCACGTTAAAAAATTATCAACAAAATGGCACTTCGTATGTTAGGACCATGGTAAACTAACTAATTGAATATGCATCTTTTAAACACAAAGATCATTTTTCAGCTGAGAAATCCCCGAAGCACACGCCATTTATAAGTTTCTTGCTCAGCTTCCCTTCGAAACAATTCGCCCTACTTTATGAATAAATTTTACTGGGGGTTATCGTGGAGGTAGATGTCTAGATGTTCAACAGTTAAGCTAGTGGCTGACTTGTATTCACCATTCTATAACCATGCTCGACAGTGCCTGGGTAAAGGGTTTGGAATGGGCACACTTTGAGCGACCAGTATTACAAGCTCCACAAGAATAAATAAAACGATGGATATACAGTGTGGTGGCCCGAAGCGACGATTTATCCTTGACACATCCTGGTATCGTACATCTGCTGAAGAATACAGTTCGTATTCCAACTAAATAAAAGGTCTTCTTCAGGAATTTAGAAGACTAATTTTGTTAGATCTCCTAGACTTTACCTCCTCTAAACTCAATGTCCTAGAAAAAAATCTTCCTCAGTAAGCGAGTTCCTTCAGTTAAGCGTCTAGGCTCCAGGTTTCTGTTAGTGAACCTTAGAGGGAATCAATTTTTCATAGACATTTTTTGGGTCCCTGTAATGTTTATAAGTAATTGAGTTATATTATGAACTAAGAATCCCAGAAATAACGTAATCCGATCACGAAGTACTAGATAACCACAAAAGAATGTACTGTATTTAGAATTAGAAATCAAGCATACAACAAGTACAAATGTATCATTAATTCATTCAAACATCACAGTGCCATCCTATTTTACTCCGACTGTGTCCTCTGTACAGACCTATTAATTCTTGAGGATAAGAAATGTATCAAATTTCTCTTTCTACTCGGTGTAACCCAACACTAGAAGTTCTTATATTTCCCATCCCATGTTGCGTTTGTATGAACCGTTCCTTGTAAAGAGCCGTTCTGTTTTCTTTAGAATAAAGCATCAAGAAAGTGAAATTCTGAGGTTGTCTCTGACCATAGGAAGAATGTGACCGATTAGCGGAAAATATTGAACGTCTGTAGTATTTTATTAGGAACATTCGTTTCATCAAAAATATTGAAAGCATCATCTAAATATCACCTACAGAATGAAAATTACGAGTTGTCAATCAAACAGTATTCCCTAGATTGATCACGAAATATTTCGCTGAGAAGACTTAGTGGGGATCTTGAAGCAATGACACAAGTTTTTTTTATAGAAATCATCGTTGAATTTGAATTGTCCATTAAAGGTGCAATGTACAGAAATCCTTGGAGATAATGTTTTAAAATACCAACATTGATGCCGATATGAAAATATTTTAATCCCTACAAATCTAATGTAAAAAAAATATTTTTTTACGGTTACCTTAAAATATAGCAATTTACGAATGTATACAAGAAATCTGATTTCCTATAGAGTTGTGTAAGATGTTGGTCTTATTAATTAACTCATTCTTTGTCTAAAAGAAATATATAAATCTACTTAGGTATACAAAAATTCAGCAAGCCGTTCACCTTAAGAAATTAAATAAACAAAATAGAAAAAAAAACACAACTAAGTATGAAAGTCATTAAAAATACGAGATTGATACGTCTTGTCGATGAAACGCTATATACGATTCCTAAGCTATTTCGGTAACCCGCAGTCTAGAACTACACAGAGACTCAAACTCCAGAGAGATGACACAAGTATGAAAGAAAATATTTATCCCAAGGTTCATTTTTGTACAGAAAATCAAGGGTATTTATAGATGTTGGCGTCTGTTAAATCAATATCATATTTTCAGCCAATCCGTTAACGTCGTATTATACTACCGACCAATAATAGCACGCCACGCTGGAATTCTCGAACGTTCCATCGTACTCTGATTGGCTAGGATACTTCGGCTCCTTCTGGGCCTCTGGAGGCTCCGTTGAAGTTCTCCGGAAGCTGACTCAACAGAGATTGAACAGAAAGATTTATTTAGTGGGTGATTTACAGTAATATGCCCCTATTAACAGTTACAACGTAAAAGTTTTGAAAACAAGTCATTAACATTTCGTTTGTTAAAAAAACTGTTCCCCAGCACATAAGCAGTGTAGTGTCAGTTATTATGCCAAGTCCATATACCTTATTCGAGCTTTCGGACATCCCATTCTATTCATTTTACTTGAGCCATATATTGACCTTGTTATTTATTCGCTTATCAATCTAGAATGTTTTTATATGAGCGTATATGTGTGTGCCCTTCTTATTCCATTAATCACATGTCTGTAGTTTATTTTGTCTGCCTATAAATATTGAGTAACGCTTAATTGAAATGGAGTTGGCTTCCCAGCCATCCTCCCTGTGCGTCATTTTGCTTGGCTCTGTTTTATTCACTTCATATGCAAAATATATGTATTCACAAATCAATTCTCGTTATTCGACTTATTTAATTCCGTTATTGGCTAACGCGATTAAGTCGACGATTATATACGAGAATCAGCGATAGCAAATATCCGTACGCTCAAAATGGAGACAGATCATACGGGCCACAAAAGCAGAACTAGTATTATATTCAATAAATTCTTGTATGTTTCTACGACTATCAATTCAATTTAATCATTAAATGAAGCAACTAAGTTTAGGATGAATGCATCTTTTAAAACGATAGAATACTATTATTTGTAAATTATGTATGTTTGTGTAGCGAGACTATAACACCAATCAGGTATAAAATAACAAGTCTCAAATTTCGGCTCGAAATTCACTCAACCATTTGGTTAAATAGAGTTTTGGCATTATAGCTTATGTCAGTTCGTGATGAAAACCCTAAATCTAATTCCTAGCCTTAACCATCAACTTTAAATCATAATTCTAATTCCTCACACTGGTTTATAAAAGTTATTTGATCCTAGTTATTAGGCGGACACTCTAAAGGTCATTTTAACGTCGCTCAAAGGTCATCTATATATTATGGTTTCACCGCTTGTCTTTATGAGTGTTCAAATCATAATAATTAGATCGTATGTTCAATGAAAATTGTGAAAATAATAAGTGAAATAATTTTAGATAACAGTGTAAGTACTAACCAGATGTAATTTTCACCCGAGATTTACTAATCCATCAAATTATGTAAATTATGTGGGAAATGATCACGAAATTACTCAGTTTTTTTGTGAATAATGTCAAAGTCATATTAAGGACAGTAACCTTGAGAGGTGTTTTACCGATTCAGTTTACCGTATAAACTTTACCTTTTTCTGATAGGCTGCTGTGACCTCTAGTTAACTAATTTCCTGCGTGCTTTGATTTCATGCTTTCACGACTATGTATACCATTCTGTCCGAATATCGAGTCTCTCTTATACTTCGCCTTTTTCCTGTGTAACCAGCTAGTCTTTGAAGTGTTGTATGTCAGTTGTCCTTACTGAGTCTGGAATTTAACCGTTTGTATTAGAATAGCCGTGAGCTACTTGATCTTATGTTCCGCGATAGTCCGAGTCATATATATAGATACACAAGCTTCTTAGACTCTGACCAAATCTGCTTGATATGACGGGATAAAAATAT